CATATATATACACATATAGTTCAATGTGTTTTCTCACAGGTTTGCATAAAACTGTTGTTCCTCTTGGATGCCAATGCATGATTGGGTTGGCAAGCAAGCAGCGCCATACGTGATCAGAGAACAAAAGCTAGGCGTGGTAGAGAAAAAAGATTTGTTTGTGTGTGCTGATTGGTGAATGTTGTTTTCATTTCTTCCAACAAGGACTTGTAGATTGCACCATTGGCTTCCTTCGAGCGTCAAACTGCACAAGTCACAGTTTGTTTTGGAAAGATAGATGTTAAGATGTCAAAGAGATTCCTTTGATCTTTCATGACATCTTTTTATCTTACATATGTTTTCCTTCCATGTCATTTGAATTTCGCGTTCCTATACACAGAGCATGAGGCGCAAGTCACCTGTGTGTGAAGTGAGCCATGTCACTCTTGGCAGCTATAGGGCGGAAACGATATGTCAGCACATCTGCTTTGAGTGAAGTCCTAAAGGAAGTAAAAGACGCTGGACTACCAGGAGGGATTAGCAGAAGCTCTGTGAAAAGGGCTAGGGAGAGTGAGCTGGCTAGCTGGAGCAATTCAACTGCGAATGCCATCACTGAGGTGGAGTACGAATGTGTGGACGCAAAGGGAAAGAAAACTGGTACTGTGAAGCTTCCATTTGTTCACACATGGTGGTTCTTGCAGGTGTGCTGTGAGAAATGTCCGTCTTTCATCAAATACTTTGAGCAGTACCTAGCAAACCTGGGCAATTCACCAAATGATGCTCTCGAGCAACTCTGACCGTGTAGTTGTGTACTGGTTTTCTATGTTTAAGAACATGTTCACTTGAGACTTGCGCTGTGCCACTGTGAACCTGCGAAGCCAAGGCTTATTTTATACAGTGACGAGGTGAGTCCAGGTAACCAATTGCGGCATGAAGCCACTCGAAAGGTTCAGATTCTCTACTGGGGAATCAAATGTGCTCCTGGTCTCTCTGTGGACCAGCTTTGGTTCACTCTTGGACTGGCCAGATCCTCCATCGTGAGCAAATTAGCTGGGGGAATGAGTGGTTATGTCAAGAAAGCGTTGAACCTTTTCTTTGAACCTATCAATATGCATCAGGGAATCCAATTGCGAGTGGGCAGGCAAGTGCATATCAAATTTGCCAAGTTTGCGATGTTTCTCGCAGACGAAGTGAGTCTGAAGGAAGTCTATAATTTTCGTGGGGCCAGCGGCATTTTGCTTTGCCCCCTGTGTATGAACATGGTGAGCGAGTCTTCCAACCTGCACCATTATGGGGATGGGTCATTGGTGCCGAGCACCTCTTGTGACAAGGACACTTGGGTGAGGGCTGATGATAGGACCATCTTGGCCAAGCTTCGACGCTTGAAGGAAGCCAATGGTGCAATCTCCAAGTCCTTGTTCGAAGACATGGAGAAAAAGCTAGGTTGGTCTTTTAATCCTGAAGGGATTTTGGGAGACGGGTCGAACATCCCTGAGAATGGGATCAAAGTGAACGGCATGATTCAGTTCGACTACATGCACACACTGCTCGTCCATGGTGTTTGGAACATCGAGCTAGGTGCCTTAGTGGACAAGCTGAAGAGGGATTGCAAGATCCAACAATCAGAGCTTCACACTTTTATGGCAGATTTTCGCTGGCCCGCGAGCATTGGCAGCCAGTCAGTGACAGGCCAAAACATTTTTCGAAAGAAACAGGATGATGTCGTCAAGTGCACGGCTTCTGAAGGATTGGGAGCATATACAGTGATTCGTGCATTCCTTGCTCTGAACGAAACTTCTTTGTCAAACATCGCACTGGAGGTGCAAAGCTACATGGCTTTAGCCAGGGTCCTGGATGTGGTGTTGGCACTCAGGAAGGGAACCACAACCCCTGCTACCCTTGAGAGTTCTATCACGGCTTTCGTGAAGGCCCATCAGAGGGCATGGCACTTCAGTCTTTGGGTTCCAAAGCATCATTACCTGATGCATCTTCCTGAGATGTACCAAGAGCAAAAGGTAGTTGCAGGATGCTTTGTGCACGAACGCAAGCATAGGGTTGCCAAACGATTTTCAGAGAACATGAGACGTGTTAGCGATTCGTTTGAGACGTCCATCTTGAAAGACGTGCTGCATGTCAATCTGACTGACCTGCAAGACCAGGAGGTCAACCAACTAAATGTTGGTCTGGTCAAACCAGTGCCGGCAGATGGTTCTCTGAAGTCGCTTTTGCAAGAGCATTTGTCAACCCAAGGTTCTGTTTACCGCGCTCGGCAGGCCCACTACTGTGTTGGAGGGTCTTGTTCTGCAGGCGACTTTGTTCTCCTAGATTTGGAGGGTGGTTCCCAGGTAGGCGAAGTTCTGTTCTTTGCCTCCAGCGATGACGCTTCTGTCGTGTGTGTGAACCTTTGGGGTGCACAGGGTGGTAATGTTTTTGTGAAGACTGAGAGGCAAGCGTTGTGCGATCTAGCCTGCGTTCAAGAATGTTTGATTTACAAACACAAATCTCAGTTCAGCATTTACGTTGCCCCAAACACCATGTGGGTGTGAGGGAAGTGCTGAAAGCCACATCAGCAGTGCACAGAGACACGCTGCATGGCAGGGTAAGACCAACCAGCTCGCTCGCCTTTGGATAAAAAAACAGCAATCTCCGGCAGGCCATTTTGTTTATTGAGAGCCCACGCCCATCTCCATCTATAGATGTGATCGCTTGGATGTTTTCATGTCCCCTTTGGGCGAGTTCACCAGAACCCTGCCATTGCAGCGAGTACCTTGACCCTGCTGTAGTGAAGTTTCAGCGAGTGCATTCACACTGTTTTTCCCCCTTCATGCTGTGTTCTAAAACAGGAAAATCATGGACACCCTGAAAGAAAAGGACTGTAGTGATTGACAAACTCTTTGGCAAGAAGGGTCTTTTGGAGACGGTGAGGTCATCCCTCTTCCCATTCTCAACTAACAAGGGTTTGTGCAATCTTCAAATCAAATAAACCCATTTGCCTTGGAACCTCTTCCTTCCGCAAAGACATATTTGTCAATATCCGGCCCCCTTCGCAGGTCCGCAGCTCCTATAACTGTGCAACTTTGGTTGACTGGGAGGGTGTGCTGAATGGATTGGGGGCGGCATGTTTCTTTCAACACTGCAACAATGAAAACAACCAAGCTTTCGAGGATATATACATCTGGAGTTCAAAACAGCTTTGCAATATCCAACGGACTATCGGAAAAACAACTGTTTCGAACTTAAACCCTCAAGCCAATGATCTGATCGCGGTCGGTGCGTTTTGGTGACAGGCTCAAATTTGCGTTCAGTGGAGAAAAGTTAGGAAGATGATCCCTGGAACAAGTTTGCGTTCAGTGGAGAAAAGTTGGGAAGATGATCCCAAGAATGCGTCCAGGGTATGACCTTGTTATGCTTTGCAGGCACCAGGCAAATAAAGAAGAACAATTTTGGCACAATGCGTTTTCAAGAACGCGGCGCCAAATCGCAGAAAATCTGCTTCCCAAACAAAGAAAAATCATGATTTGGCACCATCGAAACATGTTTTTTGCTCTTCCCTAAATCGACTTAGGCAACTTGTCCTAAGTCACTTAAGTGAGTTAGACTAACCCCTCTAAGTGACTTAGAGCACTTAGGCCTAAGTGACCTAAGTCCACTTAGGACACATACGCTAAGTGCTCTAAGTCGACTTCAGTAAGTGACTTATAAGTGACATATTAAGTCGAAGGTAAGTTGCGACCTAAGTCCTCTAAATGATTATAAGTATTAGTAACTGTTACTAACCAGGGCGGTCATCAAAGTAGGGGCTCCTGGCCTTACTACTAGGAACAAGAAGCTACTAGGGGCTCTTGGCATCGCTACTAGGAGCAGGGACGCTACTAGTTACTAGTACAGTATGTCTTTGAAGCTAACAATGATTGAAAACATCTTTGGACCCCTTTGCGCGCAAGCATCCTTGATAATGGTCAGGATGCTGCGAGCACACCAGGCAGGCAATTCTTGGACATTTCCAATCTTCTTCGGAAAGCCGCCCCACAAAGCCCAGTCGGATCGCCAAGAACCAAGTGCGGCGATTGGAGCAGCTGGGAGTAATAGGGTAGCTATTGTTACATGGAGAGAACAACTGCAGGTTTGGCTGTCCTGGTTCATTTTGTGACACTCCTACAAGTTAGTCACACTCCTACAAGTTCTGGTGCAATGGTCTGAACACTCTTAATAAGTCCGAGCACTATACTCACCTGAGTCCGAGTCCTGCATCTTTCGAGGCAACATCGGGTCCAGCTCGGGATCTGGCAGCTTCAAAGGTCTTCCTTGTCAAGTTTCTGTGCAGCAGGAGCTATTGGTGCTATTAGGGTGTGATGATCAGCTTGCAATTCGAAAATGTTGCACCCGGTTGGCATCCCGGCCTTCGCTTCGCAGACCTGCAAAGAACCATGGCCTTCAATCAGCTGTGGTCGATGGCTCGCACGATCGATGTAGCCACCCTTCAAGAGAAACCGGGCCTGAGGGATGTTCTCCAAGCTGTTGGGAGGTGCATAAGAGCCATTGTACACTGCTTTGCTGGCTAAACGCATGTTACCAAGAAGGCCTTTCAGATTGGAGTTTGGTGCCTTGTCACCAGCACGGCCAAGCCTCACACTTGTCAACTGAAGCTCATCAACCTCTTCAGGCATGGGAAAAATGCAGGGAAGCTCTTCAACATGAATGTAAAAACGAATAGTCTTTCCAACCAACTGACCAACTGCCAAGCCAAATGAACCCATGTCTTCAAGGGTACAACATGGCTATGGCATTGCATTGAGGTTGGGCCCATTGCCCCATTGGGCACCAGACGGGCAGAAATTGTGGCAAGGGCACCTTGGGCATTTGGACCGCTTCGGGTATCCCACACAGCACCACCGTGTTGCTGGAGGAACAGCCAGCCTTCCATTGTCCAATCTCTTCCCAGCTTGTAGCTGATGTTCTCCAAGGATAGACCCCACTCGGTCACATTGTAAGCCATCTCACCGGGATGCTTCCCTTTCGACTCTTCAAAGGACTGTGTCATGCTTGTGGAGAGGGTCAATTGTTGCAATTGCTCCCTGGCCTTCTGAAGCTCTGGAAACGCCGGCAGCTTGGATCAAGGCTTTTTGAATGCCTCTTGAGTTTCTCCAGGTGGCCGGGTTTCTGTGATAGCCTCCGAGTGTCAAATGGATACCAGTCGGGAAAAACTGCAGTTTCATGATCATACCAGTAGGCGTTGCACTCTTCATGGCACCAGCCACCTTGATGGACAAGCCTGCCAAGGTCATAGCGGCCTGCAATGATTGACCAGCACAAACAGCTGGATTGAAGAGGTCTTTCACTTCTTCCTTGACAGTTGCAACATGCAGCTCGTTCTTGCCGAGCTGGCGTGGACCAGTGCGAGCTGCTAGAAACTCAGAAGTACTTCGCCCACTGAGCGACAGCCGGCTGCTCCAACAAACCCAAGCCAATATACTTAGCAAACATCCAGAACTGACCACGGCTGCAAAGGTGACCACTCGCGGAGAAGGATAAGCACGGCTTTGCGGTTCAGATACCAGGGGCTCACGGTCCATTCTTCGCCTTCAGTGGCTCGACTAGGCAGCACTGCATTGACGTCGAAAGTTCCTTCCAACACGTTCTGCGTCGCTTCTGGACGTATCAAAGGGGAACTATGGCAAGGACACAGGACAAACAGAATTGTGCCTTCGTGAGGCTTCCTATGTACAGAAGAACTTGGCACTGGCGAGGCACACTGAAGAACGAAATGCAGAATCTAGTGGGATGCCCTGTGACTTGGTCGCCAACTATCTCCAACTTGAGAAATAGTGCTCTTTCAATGCGCCAAGACAACTGCTGATCCTACACACACATGGAGTCTGCAGAACGGCACAGCGGGGCCCATGACGCTGTTAATGAAGTTGTGCTAGACAAGCGTTTATGGCTTGACAAAGCGCTTTTCAACAAAAAACGTATTTTTGAGCTGGATGAGTGTAAGACATGCAACATATGCAATGGCATGCAACCCAAGCTGCATCCCCTTCTCGCAGCAGGTCAAAGACAACACCTGCGGCATCGCTCTGACCGAGCAGACTGTCTCATTATTTATCAGAACGTGAGCAGGCTCTTCAAATGTTGTTGCTTGCCAGTCAAAGAAGATACAAAAAAGAATTCATCCAATTTGTCCAATAATCCCTCCTGCCTAGCAAGTGGAGATGAAAAATGAACAAGAATATGCTGAAGACAATGCCAACAAGGAGGCTCCTGACAGGGTCGATTCCTTCCAACAAACTGTTTGCGGTGTTCGTGTACCTTGTCTGAATTCGCGTGTGAAGGACAATTGCATCCATCAAACAAGACTTTTCATAGAAGGCTTTCGAAGCAGAACCCTTGCTCGTCCTGTACAATGGCGAGTCTCTCCTCAGTATGAAGCTGTGCTGCATGCATGGTCGCAGGTCTACACCATTGGTCTCTTAAAGTTTATTGCATTACAGTAGGTTTCTTTGGTGCCTCAACACAATGCTTCTGGTTGCAAGCAGGAGAGTGGGCAAATTGCCTTCAAGAACGTCAAGCATGACAACCCTTTGAAAACAACATACTGTACTATAGAAGCTGTACTTTGCTTTTGAGTGGGCTACTTGACCTCAAACTGCCCGGCAACCAAGTAAAACACAGTTTCACAATTTCTGGACAAGCGTCAAGTGAACAAAAACCTCACACGCAAAGCCGTGGGTAGCCGAACATTGAGGGAAGCAGGCATCTCAAGAAGAAAAGGACAAGGACAAGGTTAAGAACCAAGTGGATGGGACTGGCGGTTCTTTTCCACACCTTGAACTGTCTCAAAACTGAAAGACATTGACTTCTGCTGGTTCTTCATGGTCAAGCCCTCTGAAGCCGTTGGACATTTTGAATGAGCAAAAGGCTACAAGCGATGACCCAGGTATTGTAGCTGGATGTAGCTGCTATTGTGGCTGCAGCGCTTGTGCATTGCGGTTCTGCTGAGTTGCCAAACTTTAATCTCACTTTGTGGGCCTCACATTCCTTGTATGCATGATAATTCGTGCCAGCAAGTACACCCAATCCCACCAACTGAGATGGTCATATAGTCCGTAGTCATTCATCACGGCTGTTGATTACACAAGGCCTTTGTTGCTTCGCCAAGAGAGCTCAAACAAATACGACACTCTCCATGGAAGATCACTGTCATTTTCGACAAGGAACACCTTTGATTTGTGCCATGGCGGCGTTCGGTGATCCACCTGGCGGAATACCTCTGAGCACTTCTGCTCGTGGATCCCGACGGCTGTGCAAAGGTTCCTCGGAGAGTGGGGATAAGTTGCCGGGAGAAGTATATTGGTCGGGCCTTTTCTTCAAAAACGTTTGCGGCAGTGTCGATAGCAACCATCCTCAAGAACACTTCAGACATGGATGTTAATGCTCCTAAGAATGAGGCCCGGTTTCAAGCGTCCAAGGCCACCCTGCTTTGACCTTCTGGTAAGCTTCATCTCAGCTCCATATAATATAACTATATAACTATATTAGTCAATGACATGTGTACATGGCCCCACTCTTTGTCTTTGCATTTAGGATTCTGTCTTTCTGTCATTCTTCCTCTTCTTGGACCAAGACACGATCTTCTCGAACCACTTCAAGACTAGCTTCACTGGCCGCAGCACTACTGCCTCCCCCAACAGAACTGGCACACACTACTTCCAATGAACTTTGCAGCGACTCTGCAATCAATCTCCAATCTTGACGTCCGAGTCTCAAGAGCCCAAGAGCCTTCTTAATGTTCCTTAATAAAACACCTAGCAGGATCCAGCCAGATCTAGAGCCTAGCAGCTTGGGACTGGTGACCACGATCTACAAATCAAATCATTAGTGCGAGCGTGAGCTAGTCTGCGTCCACTTACTAGAAGCTTAAGTAGCTAGGAGCTTACCCCCTCACTTATACAATTAAGTAGGCGCCTACTTAATGAAGTAGGAGCGGGCTATAAAATTACAGAAAGAAGACGTCTACTTTGACTTAGATCAAAGCCTCCGGAGAGCGTCTCATCTCGTCGGGCGTAGGCTCTCTGAGTTCATCGGCCATGTCATCGTGGCTGGGCAACGAGAAAGTCTGATCAAAGCCTCCGGAGACATCGAAACCCAAGACATACGAAAACCATCGAAAAACCATCATCTCTTAGATGATCTTAGTGGATGCGACACATGGACCCGCTGGAAGATTGTCTGACACAGGGTCATATTCTGAGCAAGAGTGAGATTTGATGCGACTTTCAGGTATGTCCGAAGGTACTGTGAATCTTTCAACCCAGTTTGCTCAACAGGGAACTGCGTTTCAAAAATGATCTTTGCATGATGCTGCAAGTGACATGCCATTTCTCACCCATGATTCATATATATATATATATTTGTGCTGTTCGCTTTGCAACTCTTAATCTTCTCAAGATTTTTCTTCTGCGCTGTGGCCCGCGCTCGTGGTGCGTCGAGCTTGGCTGGTTGCCGTCTCGGATTTCCGTTGGTAGCAGCAGGCACACCAGCGAAGGGAACCCTGACATGCACTGGAATTGAAGATGAGATCTAGACCTGCACTGTTTGTCCATGTAAAGAGTGAGATATCCATCTTGGTTCTTATTGTCGTTTCATGACGTGTTCACAAACAGCACCCCCAAGAACAGAACACACTTGCCAAAAAAGCGGGCAAGCATTCAGCATTCATAATAGAAGAACATCGTGTAATCCTGCTCGCCACTTATGCCTGTATATAGATATGCCTGTGTATAGACCTTTGCGAGTATCACGATGGTAGATGTACACTGATCGCCTCTTTGAGATACTTCTTTCAGGTTCTAGCTGCTAGCTGCTAAGGACCCAGTAGCTCAAGAAGCGGGAACCCAATCAAGGTGCCTGCACGATCTGGCTACCCAGCAGCAACGCCATCTCTGGATCATCATGTGCCGTCTGCGTGCGTGGCACGTTCATCCTGCCACTCGTTGGAATGCACAAACACCGTTGGAAAGTACATCAAAAGGGTCAGCCTGGAGGCCAGCCTGGAGTTAAGCTTCCACTGGGTCTGATCAACATATTCAACATGAAAGACATCGGACATAAATAGCCAAACTAGGAACAACAATCGGAAACAATAAAACCAAAAAGCTATCTAGTTTTTATTTTTTTAAATAAACTATATACGTCTACATGTTTCCTATATTGTTCCATGCTTTAAAGTTTGTTCAATCCAAATTTGCGCAGTTTTTGTTCTAAAGGCAAATTTAGCAAAACCATCAAAAAATAGGACCAATAGCACACCCATAGGACAAATTTGAAAAATAGGGACACATAGGAACAACATAGGACAACAAATCGGAAAAAATAGGAGCAACCATGGGACCAAAAACATGTCCTCTTTTTCATATGTTTTGCTCCATTTGTTCATGTTTGTTTTCCCTATTTTCCTGATGTTGGTTGGTTCTATTTATTTTCTATTTGTGTCATTCTTTGTTTAATTTTACAATTTTACAATTTCCAATGCCAAACTTCATTCAGCTCATCATAATCTTAGCATCTCTTGTGTGGTTGTGAAGTCGAATAGTCAAATAGAGAGACATGTTTGACCCTGAACAGAATTTCCAGCGGACGGACGGACGGATGGATGCATGAATCCTGCCTGGCTGTGCTCGTCAGAAAAGGAATACATGACATGCCGGTAAAAAGGTGTACCCCGATCAAAATGACTGCCTGGATGCCCTAAATTGAAGTCCTGGAACATTTTTCTTTAATGTTTTGCACTGTGCTCTGAGCCTGCCTCCCTTTGCTATTGCTGGTCACCGTCAGCAGCTCCGTCATGCCTGATCGGTGAAAGTGCTGCCATCCCCGGACCAATAAGAGTTGGAAGAACTGAAACCAAGGTTTCATGGAAGTCTTAGCAGGAAAAAACTGAAAGGTCCGTTTCGGTCTCTCCTGGTATCCCAAGGTAGTGAAGTACCACTTTCTCAGCCAAGCCCAAGATGTCAATGTTGGGTTTGAGTTTGATCTTCAAGATTCAAGACGAATAAAGTGTTTGGCTCTTCGCATAAGTTCTGCCCCATCCCAATTGTCTGAAAACATCACACTACTTTACTTCAGGCGATCCCCACCATGACATTTCAATGATTTGTTTTCATGCTATGGTGAGGAGCATGTTGCCATCGTCATGAGCTTTGTGGTTTTCGATTTTTTTGTGGGTCCTTGGGTTTGGAGTCGTTACTGTATTCTAGTGTTAGGGAGTTCGCGTCGGGGTGTCGCCAGGGTCTCCAATTGCAAAAGTGCTGCTACCCTCCGACCACGTGCCACGCAAAATGCCACACACAGGCGTAGTTGTATTGTCGTGGCTGTGTGTTTGGTGTTTGTGACAGTGCTTGTGGTTGTGTGTTGGCGGCTGTGTTTGTGGTTGTACGTTTGTGGTTGTATTTGTGGCTTGTGTGTTTGTGGTTGTTTGTGGTTGTGTTTGTGATTGTGTGTTTGTGGTTGCTGGTTGTGCATTGTTGAGGTCCAGTACTGCCCACTGCGATCTGGCACTTGCGGTTCAGGTTTG